CACACACTGCAGAAGGAGGCAGTGTGTGTGTGTAATAATCAGATATCTTTGAGTGTAAACGGTAAGGCACAAAAATCTTTAACAATCTCTTTAACGCAAGGTAAACAGAGGCACCGTGCGCGCGCGCGTGTATGTGTGTGTGTGTGTGTGTGTGTGTGTGTGTGTGTGTGTGTGTGTGTGTGTGTGTGTGTGTGTGTGTGTGTGTGTATGTGTGTGTGTGTAAGGAAATGGACCCAAATGTTTCGTCTTGCTCAGGAATCGAACCCTTGACCACTCGGATGTCAAACTGTTAACAAGGTATATAGAGTCTTGGGACGTGGAAGTTAGAATTAGGTTGCAGAAAATTAAAAAAAAATCCCACAGGAAGCACGCAGCTCGTCAAACACACAGTACTTGACACAGTACTATGGCCAGCAAAGTGTAAACAACCATTAAAAGGGGAAAGCCATTATGACTATGGGAGCCGGTCGGCCGAGCGGACAGCACGTTGAACTTGTGATCCTGTGGTCCTGGGTTCGATCCCAGGCGCCGACGAGAAACAATGGGCAGAGTTTCTTTCACCCTATGCCCCTGTTACCTAGCAGTAAAATAGGTACCTGGGTGTTATTCAGCTCTCACGGGCTGCTTCCTGGGGGTGGAGGCCTGGTCGAGGACCGGGCCGCGGGGACACTAAAAGCCCCGAAATCATCTCAAGATAACCTCAAGAAGGAGATAGCACTATGAGGGGGATATGAGGACAAGGAGCTGGAATGAGGACGGGGCGCAGAGACACCGTCCATCCACTTGCATCATCGAGAAAGTGAATTATCGGCAGTGAAAAGATTATAGAAACATGAAAAGAACAAGAACGGGAAAACAGAGAGAAACAACGTTCCCAAATGAGCCATTCGGGTGCTAAGGATAGCGAAGAGTAGAATGAATTAGAAGGCAGTGAAGGTAGATGCCATGCCCAGATCCCTCAGTAGATACGATAGAACCCGGGGTGTGAGTACAGATGAATGAGTACAAACCTACACACTCACACATTATCTTATCTCTGTCCGTCACCTTCAACCCGAGCATAGCAGCTACCTTTATTAACAAGAGCGTCTACACTTCCCATCATAAAACTTTACAGTAATCCTCCCTCGCTTATCTTCCTACCACACTGCCAGACCAGGCAATATGTGTCGTCGCACTTGCATTTCTTCAAGTAAATTGCTATGAGAATCTTCATCTCTCTGTGATACAGGATGAGCGAAGCAGTTCTCGCAGCCGGTTTTGGGGGTAAGTGCTTTTAGCACTGGTGTCGTGTGTAGGACCAGCCACCATCACCGAACCTCATCACCGTCTCTACCAGCGCCTGTAACTAAAAAGCACTGGTGTCGTGTGTAGGACCAGCCACCATCACCGAACCTCATCACCGTCTCTACCAGCGCCTGTAACTACCACCAACACCCCCTTCAGCAGCCCCACTCACCCAAAACGTGCATAAAGCAACGGTTTATCAATCGTGTTAATAATCGTTAAGAGCTGAAAAGAGGAACGTCTGTTGGTGATCTTGCTGGCTTAGAACGTCTCATGGTGATCTTTAAGGCTCAGGGAACGACGCATGCAGATACGAACTCCGTGTAATTAAAATTAGATAGCGATGTTGTGTCTCATTTATCCTGTGTTTGTGCGGGCTTTTAATTCTGGACAAAACGGAGACCCGGACGAGAATACTCCTCTCTGATCTTAACCGACTGACCAGAACCTTCAACACCGGAAAGATGGTGGACTATGAGTTATGTATGAAGGCAAGGGAGCTCACGATTTCCAACCTGGCCCAAATTCGCTGGCAGCCGGGAGTTGGCAACCACAAAACAAGACGCCGTGATTATACAAAAACAATTAAAGTTTCCGTGATTATATCACTTGCTTGCAGTTGGAAATTCTGATATATATATGATGGCAGAAGTGGAGAATGCCGATTTTTGAGGTATCATGCTATTATTATGTTGTAAAGCTGTTTTTGCAGTTACAACTTAAAATAACATGATCCAAGATTGGTTTTTGCCGGCTGTTACTATAGAGATTACGTTGGTTATCTCTATACAATCTCTCAACAATAGACTTGAGAATGGTCCAGGACGGACCGAAACGTCGTCTGACATTGTAACTATAAGGTGTGAAGGATAGATGAAATTGTTTATAAAATAATCTAAGATGAGGTCTGATAAAGACCTTTTGTGCCCTCTGTAATGCTTTTGCGCTACCGCTCACAGGATGAGTATGGGGTGCACAATAAACTAGCCTCCTTCGGCGGCAACAATCAATCAATCGTCGTCCCTTCACTCTCTAGTGTGTGGTCTGGTCAACATATTTCAGCCACGTTATTTTGACTCCTTGTCTGCATTACGTTGGTAATTTTGCTTATATATTTTGCTGAAGTTCTGTTTTTGTTAACTGTTGAGACTGATTATTACCAATTTTTTGTTATTAAATATTATTTGAATTGATTTTGTTCCAGCAGTTGAGATGATTTTTGTTGTGTCTATTGAGGTTGTTATTGAAGCTCAGGGAGATGTTATGGCAAATAAAATCACTGTCCTTGACTTTTATTGTCGTATTTGTTAGTGATAGAATATCTAATAATTTCCTCGTCTGTTAATGTGCTCAATGCTACAGTGAAATTCTAAATCAGAAGAATAATGTCCGAGTAGGTTTTGCTTCAAATTAGGGCTTGCTCGAGGGTCGCTGCGTCTCACTATATAGCGAGTGCGCTGTTAGCATACCTATTTACTGCTAGGTAACAGGGGCATTCAGGGTGAAAGAAACTTTGCCCATTTGTTTCTGCCTCGTGCGGGAATCGAACCCGCACCACAGAATTACGAGTTCTGCGCGCTATCCACCAGGCTACGAGGCCCTGTGTGTGTGTGTGTACTCACCTAGTTGTGCTTGCGTGTGTGTGTGTGCAAGTGCTCGTGTATGTGCGTGCATGACTGTAAGGGGCGGGTCACTGTCACCGCCCACCACCCTCACTGGGCCCCTGCCATTGGTCCAGCAGCTCGCGATCTCCTCCCACGGTGGGCGGAGTTCCACTCAAAAGCGGTTCGTTACTTCTCATGATAAAGTGATTTTTTTTGCTTGCAATGCCCTGGTTATTGCTTACAATGTCACTGCTATTGCTTGCAACATCCGGGCTATTTCTTGCAATATCTTTGCTGTTGCTTGCAGTGTCCTTACTATTGCTTTCATTTTTTTCTTAAACGTGAAGTTTGGCTTCACGTTTATATATATATATATATATATATATATATATATATATATATATATATATATATATATATATATATATATATATATATATATATATAGGGTACCACCTCTGGTGCCAATGTGGGGACCCATAGCCTCGGAGAAGAAAATAAAAAGTATTCAGAGGAGACCTTGTGGTTTCTCACTGAACACTAATATTATCTTCTCCTACCACCCCCATTCTTTTGTATGTACACATATATATTTACTTTATTTGAACTTTGAACTATATATATATATATATATATATATATATATATATATATATATATATATATATATATATATATATATATATATATATAATATGCATGTGTGCGAATATGCGCATGTATTTATATATATATGTGTATGTACTTACGTATGTATTGATGCACATATATGGCTGTAATTGTTATAAATGTTTATTAGACATTCAACTCACACATCTGAAGATAAAGGAGGTGACGATGTTTCTGTCCTTCCTGGATGACTCGATAATGGTCCAAAACTGACCGAAACGTCGTCACTGCATTCCGCGTTATTTTTATGAAATACTGTCTTCAATTCCACTCCATTTTAATTACCAGATGATGCATCAATCAGACACTTAGAGCAGAGATAATATAATTGTTTATATTATTATTATAATAATTATTATGCAAATAATTGCTGTATTTAATAATTATCACTCTTTTTTCTGCTGGGTCATGATGGAGGCTGGCCTCGGATGAAAGAGGGCTGTACTCACCTAATTGTGTGCTTGCGGGGGTTGAGCTTTGGCTCTTTGGTCCGTTGTTTGGTTTGGTCCGTTGCTGTGTAAGGTTTTGGAGGTCATAAATGGAAATAAAAATTAAAAGTCATAAAAAAACAGTTCCATATTTTTATTAACAAAATATAATTCATCAACGAGTTATGTACAGCCGCTACTCTACGAGGATAATTTAGAAACAATTATAACTCTTCCATTGCACACAACACACACCTAGCGTCTCTTCAGGCCTATTACATAATGGATTACTGGGTTTTTGGTTTTTTTTTTTTACATTAGGCAGAAAAAGGACATACATGGAAACCCAATAAAAACCAAAAAATCTGCACAGATGACCCATTTATTTCTAAACGATTTCATTAAAAATATGACACCCATAAAAATTTACTCCTTATTCCCTCCTCCCACCCCCAGCTTCCCACACATAAACGCACACATGCACGCAAATACACACACACTTACACACTCTCACACACACACACACACACACACCAAAACAGTACAGATGCTTTCCTTTGGTATCTTTCGGTTTAGATGCGATGAATGACTGTTTTTTTCTCTCCATTTTTTGTTTACTTTCGTAGTCTGGATAGATGAGAGAACGTGCATCCAGGAGAAATAGCTGAGGGGCGTCTGTCTCGTTTACTTTTAGGTTTTCTCGGGATTTTTCGTTCCGTCTTTGGTAAAAAAGAGAGAAAGCTGTTGTGTTCCTCGCCACTGCTTGCAGTTCGAGCATTCGCTGATGACTGTATAGCTCTTTTTGCTTTGAATTTATGTCAGAATGTATTATTTCCATTGGGATAAATATAATAATATATATATACATTTTTACACTAATTGTTAATTCCTTGTGAGCTTTGGTGCACCTGACCAACCAGACTAGTTGGGTACCGAGTCAGGTTCATGGAGGTCAGGTCAGGTTCAAATATATATATATATATATATATATATATATATATATATATATATATATATATATATAAACATGAATAAACCGGTATTTTTTGTATTATAACAGATCGCGAGCAAAATTTGGCTTCTGTGTATTGGTATGACCCTCAGTCCAGCCCCCCCTTTTCGGTGGAGCTTCTGTCACCCTTGAAGGGGGAAGTTTCAGTCAGCCAACATGAGTGGAAGTGCTGCGTTAGAACAAGTTAGTCCACCACGAGGGGAAAAGTTTTGAGCCTTTGTCAGTAGTATCATGTAGAGTTAAATGGCAAGTTTTTCTCTGAATGCTCTGTATTCCCTTCTCCGAGGCTATGGGTCCTTACAATTGCACCAGAGGTGGTACCTAATATATATAATAATTACCCGGCGACGGCTCCGTGCACGGGGCGTTCCGAGCTCTCTTCTTTTTGGCTTTTGGAGGTAATACTTCCGACTTCCATCGTCTTTGTTTTCGTCTTAGCTTTGCTTCTACTCTACTCGAACCCTCTTGGCTGCACACTCGGCGCTGACCCCATCGTCATTCGAAGTGGTGACGTCGATGTGCTCTTTGTCTGTGTCCTCATCCATCGCTTCCTCATCGACGACTGCATCGTCTGTAGTAGAGTCCGTTACCTTGTCGACAAACGAGCGAATCTCGTCGCTGAAGTAGTTAGTTGACGTATCGACAGTGGAGCTGCTGGAGTCCGGCGCCTCTGGAGAGTCCGGCGGATTGGGACCTTCTAGTTCGTGCTTCTTGAGGTGGCGGTCAAGGTTGGTCTGCTGGCCGAAACAGCGGTCACACAGCGGACACTTGAAGGGCTTTTCCTTGTTGTGGATGTTGCGCACGTGACGCTGGAGGTTGGACGAGATGCTGAAGGAGCGCTCGCAGTACTTACACTTGTAGGGCTGCTCCCCGGTGTGAGTCCTCAGGTGGCGGGTCAGGTTGGCAGATCGCGGGAACACCTTTCCGCAGAACTTACAGGAGTAGCGATCCTTGGCGCGGGGCATGTGGGAAGCCATGAGGTCATACGGGCGGCTGATGTCCCCGTACGGGCGACCCGCGTTGGACATGTGGGCTTTAAGCATGTCTAGCCCCGTTGTGCGGTTGAGGCCGAGCCCCATGCTGGCCATGCTGGTGGGGGGGAAGTATGGCGGCAGCATAGGGTAGCGGCTGCCTGCTAGACCGCCCCCCGGCAGTAATGGACTGCGGTCTAAGCTGCGGTCAAGTGTGCGATACATGTCGAGAAGAGCCGCTGGATGAAGGGGTCGAGGATACGCCAGTGGCAGCTTAGTGGGGGTGTCTAGTAAGGAGGGGGGCTGTGGGGGGGCTGGGGTGAGCGGGGTGCTGCTGGTGGTGTCCTTCAGCAGCTCGCTGATGCGCAGGAACGGGTGGTCTGGGCGAGGCCGAGGCTCCTCTACAGACTTGACCTCGACGGGAGCTGGCGAGCGAAGCCGCTCTTCCATCGAGTCGCTGTTGTGGGAGAGGATGTCAAACCTACCGAGGAACAGTTCGTCTCTCTCCCCTTCCTTGCGCCTGAGAGTCAAGTCCAGCGGCTGCTCTTTCCTCTCGTGGGGCCGGCCGCGGGTGCCCTCTGCCCTCACCTCCTTCTGCGACGCCTCAGGTGTCCGGCGCCGGTACTCCAGAGGCTCCCGATGGTCGTCGGAAACCTCATTGGACTCAGATCTGCGCGGCGACTCCCTCGTCGGGAACACCGACGCCTGTTTGGGCGAGTGCGAGGGCGAGAGGCGAGGCGGAGGCTGCAAGGAGGCAGCTTCTCTGCTGGCAGACTCCGTGGACTCGGGTCGTGGGGATATTAACATGCGACTGCTGACGTCATTAGACTCCTTCTCCTCCTTGGGGATGGAGAAGGGCTGCTCGCGGGAGCCGGTGTTCTGGAAGGGGAGGAGAAGAGAGGAGGTGAGGAGCGGGTGCTGAGGGCCGCCCACCAGGGAGGGCAGGGAAGGGAACATGGGGTAGCCTGAGAGCAGTGAGGGCGGAAGAAGGGGCAGCGGTGGCCGTGGGTACATCATAAATGGGTTTGGTGGGGAGGAGGAGACGGTGCCCATGGAGAGCCCAGTGTGGGGCTGCTTGTCGTGCAGTGACTGCGGGCCGGTGTGCAGTGACAGCGACGGCGCAGTGTCGCAGAATCTCTTGTGCTTGGCCAGGGACGTCACGGTGGAGAAGGCCTGGCCGCACTTGGTGCATTTGATCTGCAGGCGGCAGTCTGCGTGCATGCGCTTGTGGCGGCACAGGTTACTGAACTGCGTGTACGCCTTGAAGCACACCTCGCACTGGAACGGCTTCACCGAGGAGTGGATGTGCGTGTGCTGCTTGAGGCCGGAGCTGGTGGCGAAGGTCTTGCCGCACTCGGGACACGCGTGAGAGCGCGCCCCCGCGTGCTGGTTGCGGATGTGCTTCTGCAGCACCATGGCGTCCGTGAAGACCCGCGGGCAGTTCTCACACGGGTACCGCTTGTACTCCCCGTGCACCGTCTTGTGCTGGATGAGGTTGGGTCGCCAGGCGAAGGCGCGCGGGCAGTAGTCGCAGCGGTACTGACCGGCGGCGAATCCGTGGGCGGTCACCAGGTGGTCGTCTAGTCTGCAGGAAGGATAGAGAGGGCAAGTGGTGAGTGTGAGTCGTCCGCCTAGCCTGCAAGGGGGGACAGAGAGGAGGGGATAGTAAGTGGGGGATGTCCGCCTAGCCTGCATGAGGGATAGGGACGGAAGAGGTAGTAAATATGGATTGTTCACATAGACTTCAAGAGGTGTTGACGTAAAGCAGTAATAAAGCACTATTAACCTTCAAATAAAAGCGTAAGCTGTATCGAAATATGATAACACACTAAGGGTCATCTTTGGTTCTAATAATGGGACCTAATGACATATTTAGGGTCGTCTTGGGTTCTATTAATGGGGTTTGATAACATGCAAAGTGTCGTCGGGAGTTCTGTTATCGGTGTCTGATAACACACTAAGGGTCGTTTTGGGTTATATTATCAAGGGCTGAGTAAGCTAAAATAATGATAATTTCAAATTGTTTAGTCTCGGGAAAATTGTCTCATAATAGATCAGGTGAGGATTCAGAAATAAAATAATTTCCTATGACAGCAACATAGGATGCAAAAATTAACGAAAAGGATAATCTGCTTCTTAGGGCTTCTCAAAGTCCCCAAATAAAAACAAATCAAATGAAAAGTCCGCTGATCACGACGAAACATTTATTTCTTACTAAAACTTTTTTGTTCTCAAATAAAGAATACAAAAAACCTTCAATAACGAGGAAAGAATAACCTTCAACGTATCAAACCTCCAATTTAATACAAAACAAACAAAAATCACAGAGCAATAGAGAGAAGAAACATTAAACTATATACCGCTATCTTTCTTGAACTTACTCGTCATAATCTGTAAAGTTCTTGTCACACTGAAGACACCTGAATCTTGCAAGGTCGTCGTCTTCGTCCTCCTCCTCGTCGTCCCCTGTGTTCTCAGAGCGGTCCTCCGGCGACCCCACCTGCAGCTGGTCATCTGTGAGAGGTAGGAAGTAAATGGTTTGTTAAACACACACACGGAGAGAGAGAGAAAGAAAGAGAGAGAGGGAGGGTCGGGCAAGAAGTGATATGATTAATTAATAATAATAAAAATGTATATAGTATGATATATAGGTATATAGGTGTATGGTATATAGTATGTGGTGGTGGTATGTGAATATGGTATATACGGTATGTGGTACTATATGTGGCGAGGAATTAATGTGTTTGTGTGGGACGTGGTGGTGGTGACATGTGATTGTGTGCAGGGGTGGTATGTGTATAGTGGTAGTGGTTGTGCAGCCAGTGGTGGTGGTGGGAGAGGAGGAATGGATGATGGAGGGTATACTGTACACAGTGGTCAGTTGATTGCATATATACATATATATGCAATCAATACATATATATTGCATATATACATATATGTGAGGTATACAATCCAGAGTCCACAGGTGGTTGGAAGGATTACCACTCATCGTTCTAGCTGTTTGAACAACCCCACACAATGAAAATAACAGAACAGTTAAACCTAGAGCTCGCATTGAAACATAATTAAAACAAATACATAATCCGAACATATTTAACTGTAAAAACAGCCCAAACAGAGCAACAATGACAAAAATCCGTACACTGCATAATACAAATATAAGTAATCCACACTGTAGTTTGAAGTTCACATTCACATGTAGTTCTCATTCACAGTTTAGGAGGTATTAGATAAAATGGGAGGGAAGTGGCTGTATGCTGATGGCACCGTTGGGAAGCTGGCACTGTTGCATGTGCCGTGTAGCTTATTCGTGTAACGACTGTTTATGTTCATATCTCCCGATAAGAGTTTGAACTGATTCTACAATCAACGACCAGTGAGGCTTCATATCCCAGTTTCAAAAGGAACCTTTCATTACCATTAAACTTAAGGGCTATTAATTTCATGTCAGTTGATAAATGACGTTCTCAAGATAAGTTCAGAAATGATTTTCTCCTTCTCCATAGACAAAGACCCAGAATAGGACTTGTACTTAGTTAGTCATAAGATAATTCTTCCTAAACAACAGCACTGTAAAGTGAGAATTGTTCCTCTGTTGAACTAATTCTAACTCATTTAGAAACAATGGTTATCCGTAATGCACTTACCAACAGCTGAGGTGTCTAGATCTATGACGGCTTTCCGGATGAGAAGGAGCTCCTCTGAGGGTGGGATGTCTCTTATGGCCTCGTAGAAGATCTGAAAGAAGGACGTCAACAAAGACTTACGAAAGATCCAAATGAACGAGACGAATGTTTGTTTCTTTAAAAGGTGGTGTTTGAGTGAAGGCTTAAGAGATAATTAAGGAGTTCGTGGATTCGCTCGAGGGAGATTTACTGATGAGTGTAATATATGTGAATGAAGATACAATGATATGGATGTCTCACATGGGGAAAAAGGTATAATATTTATATGAGGGATTGCAATTCCAAAAATCATCTAGTAGAATACCGAGAGAAGTACACACACACACACACACACACACACACACACACACACACACACACACACACACACACACACACACACACACACACACACACACACACACACACACACACACACACACACACATACACACACACATACACACACACACACACATCCCGTACAAACACATTACACAGACACTCGAGAAGATGTGATCACCGAACTCAAGATCTAAGACAAAATGACAACATCTTCAACGACAACGAACGAATGAACGTTCACCGGTGAACACTAAAATCCCACAAGAACTAAACTTGTATAATCCTCACAAGTCGTGAGACAAATGGAAGGAATTGAGGACAAATATCGAGCAGGTCGTAATTATACTCGGTTTTAAAAACATCCAAACTAAAGGTAAGACTCCCACAGAGCCACACTCACCTGTCCAGCGAGCAGCAGGTGCCGGAGGTTGCCATAGACAGGTGAAGAGGCCACACGAACGTGACGAAGCCAGTTACCCATTTCACCTGCGTCCAGCCACCCTCGAAGTCCAGACCTCATCGATACCACCTGAACGGAGAGAGAGAGATTGAGATCGTTAGAGATTGAGTGATAGAGAGAGAGAGAGGGGGAAGAGGATGGAGGAGGAGGGCCGGAAGAATGAGGGAGAGAAATGGAGAGAATGCCGGTGGAGGAGAGGGAACAGGTGGAGATAATTCGATTGAAGGAGAGGGGGAGTACCTATCGGGTACTCTTGCTCCATCTCTATTTAATAACGAACACCGTGTTTATGGCCCAATCACCTGAGGAGGCAAAGTCTATAGTGTCGTCTAAACTGAGGAATTTTAACACTAATGGCTCCCCCTCTCTTGTTTAATTGATTGGACGTAAGAGTGGTCTTTCGTGTATATGTGTACTCACCTGTGTTCGCGGGGGTTAAGCTTCAGCTACTGGGCCACGCCTTCCTTCCAAACATCGGTTTCATTGCCATCAAATATAAGCAGACGCCGTGCCACAATAACATGACGGGAGAGATGAAAGCCTGTCCACCAGCCAGGATGATGAAACGCCGATGTTTCGGGTCGGCCTGAATGTTTGCCTGTTACGGAAGCGGATTTCTTGTTCACTGTAAACTATGTTGTTCCATGTGGCATACGAACCTCGTTTACCTTTGCAGGTGAGGTTTTTTAAGTGTAAAGGAATGTGTTTTCTTGCTCATATAACGTTGTGTTTCTTTTAATATTGTTTTAGTAGGTATTCAGGAGCGTGAAATTCCTTCCCTACCTCTGTTATGAGTTTGCATGGAGCGTTCAATGTGTTTTTTTTTTTGAGGCGCGTTGGGAAAAGTCCGGTGCGTTGTAAACTTGTTTTTTTTTTCTCTTAGATACCTGGTTGATACCTGGTTGATGGGGTTCTGGGAGTTCTTCTACTCCCCAAGCCCGGCCCGAGGCCAGGCTCGACTTGTGAGAGTTTGGTCCACCAGGCTGCTGCTTGGAGCGGCCCGCAGGCCCACATACCCACCACAGCCCGGTTGGTCTGGCACTCCTTGGAGGAATAAATCTAGTTTCCTCTTGAAAATGTCCACGGTTGTTCCGGCAATATTTCTTATGCTTGCTGGGAGGACGTTGTCTTGTGGAGAAAACCAAAAATCACGTTGCTTACATCTACAGGCGCGTCCTGGTTTTCCTTCCTGGTGTCCTCCTCTTTCTCCTCCTTCCTTAATTTCAGCACTCCTATTCCTCCTCCCTCCTTTCCTTCAGAGCATCTTCTTCCTCCAGATTCCTAACCTTCTTCCTCCTTCACTTAAGACCATCCTCCTGCACCTCTTTTTACTTGTTATCTGCGTTCTATTTTTATGAAGAATTTACATCCCATTAGAGAAGCCTCACGTGTTCCTTCCTACTCCCTCCCTTCCTTATTTTCAGTAATCTTCCTTAACCTCTCCTGAATGAGAAGGTTTCTCACCTCTCACCACCACCTCTCTAAATCTCTCTCACCACCACCTCTCTAAATCCCTCTAAATCCCTCTAAATCCCTCTCAAACCTCTAACCTCTCACTTCTCAAACCTCTCGCCTCTCACTCCTCAAGCTCTGCTCTGAAACACCTCTTATCAAGCCCTCCTGACCCCCCACACAAACCACTAACCACTCCCCCCCCCTCATCCAACCGAGGTCCACCTATCTGCTGTGATCCCCGCGATAACTAAAGCGCCATAAAAGTAACACCGACACACGATAACAGAGATAACACCCCAAGTTGGTAATCCGTGAATTATCTCGCCAAGACAGTACGCCAGATTGAACGAAGGTGGGAGGGGGGCGGGATGATGGGGGGAGTGTTGGGAGCGGGTAAGGGGAGGGGGGGGGAGGGGGCCTGACTAGCTGGTGTAATTAACAATTATTGTTAATACATGAGGGAGAGGTGGTGGGAAGGGTGAGTGATGGGGTCAAGGAAGATAGGAGTGAAGGGATGGATGGGCTGGTGGTTTAGAGAGAAGGGAGAGAGAGAGAGAGAGAGAGAGAGAGAGAGAGAGAGAGAGAAAGGGGAGAGAGGTAGAGGGGGGGGGTGAATTAAGCAAGACTGCTCCTCCTCCTGCTCCCCCACACACGTCTCTCATAAGCATCCCAACACCGAGAATAACATCAATATCCCAGGCAATACTCACCTGCTTCCCCTCACCCCCCCCCCTTTTCCCAACATCACCACCCCATGCCCAGTCCCTGCAGCACCTTCCCCCCTCCCCCCTTCCTTTACCATCTCTCCTAGCAAAACAACCCTCCCCTCCTCTTGCCCGCCTTCCCCTAGTAACAACACCCAAAATTGCCCACCTCCCTTAGTAATACCCCCCCCCCCCTCACCCTTGCCCACGTTCCCAAGTAAAACCACCCGCCCCTTATTCCATTTTCCTTAGCATCGTCCTCCCTTCTCCACCTGCCCTAGCAACTCACTTCCCCAGAGTAACACCCACCTGCCCACCTCCCACTACCAACACCTCCTTGCTTCTATATTGCACCAATATAGAAGCACCAATATAGAAGCATTAAGAAATAAGGGCCAATAGGCCCTTTGCAGTTCCATCCTTCCCTTTAATTTACCCAATTTATACCCATTGTTTCATGTTCTATCTTGTGTTGAAAGTTTTGTTCACCTCATCCAAAACTGTTGTAACATATCACCTCACCCAAATGCGGGCATATAAGATGAAAGCTGTTTACATAATAGCATAGAACTGTTTAGTGCTTACAGGTTATAGTTGTGTGTGTGTGTAAACTAAAGTCTTTGACAATGTAATACGTTATTACGAAACGCGTTCAAGTGTCGCGTCAGACTAGGAGAATTGATTTTTCAATTACAATCGACAGTGAAAAGAAACATAAGAAATATGGAGAAAATTCGTGTTGGAATTATTAATCTTACTTTTTCGGTCACACACACACACACACACACACACATATATATATATATATATATAATATATTATAATATATATGTGTCTGTGTGTCTGGAAGCTATGCTATATTGGATCCAGATTTCACTATCCCCCCTGTAATCTCCGGTATATATATTTCTGTGAATGCTCCAAATATTGAATTTAACTCTATTAGGAGGCCATATATGAGCAAAGTTTTATTTCTCGAGTTTGACTTCAGGTCTTGTATGTTGGGAAAATATAAACCACTTTCCATAGTGTGAATCACTTCTGATAGGTTAGAAGAGTTAGGTAGTAGTAGTGGTACTGATGATGTTGAAGATTATAATGTGTGTAGGGGAGTGGAGTACGTAAGTTGATGGTGCCTTGGCGCCTTCTTCCTTGCACCATCTTACATTGTTTCTGTCTGCCTGTTTCCCCGTCTCTTATGTGTACAATACTCTGCTTCTCTCTGCCCCTATAACGCTCTGTGCCTCTCACGTGGAAGTCTGGGGGGGGAATGGGCATTCAAGACCATTTCCTATCTTTAATTGGGAGTTGACATGACTTAGGGTGGAAAAATGTGTGCAACTGTTGTTCAACATTGCAACACGAGCGTAAGATGATGTCAGAGGGACACCGGGCACTGCTGACATGTTGCAGTCGCTCTTGTCACAGTTGATGTTGATACGCGGAGTCTCTCTCCCGGGTGGTATGACAGTATGCGTCATACCTCGACGAACACCGTGCGTTCCTTCCAGTGTTGCTTGAGCCGTGTACGTCATGTGAGACATTCCGCCACCTCATATACTGACGTACACATACTCACACACACACACACACACACACAAACGGGACGCGAACAAGGGGACACAGGTGGAAACTGAGTACCCACATGAGCCACAGGGACGTTAGAAGGAAATTTTTCAGTGTCAGAGTAGTTAACGGATGGAATGCATTAGGCAGTGATGTGGTGGAGGCTGACTCCATACACAGTTTTAAGTGTAGATATGATAGAGCCCATTAAGTTCAGGAACCTGTACACCAGTTGATTGACAGTTGAGAGGCGGGACCAAGGAGCCAAAGCTCAACCCCCGCAAACACAACTAGGTGAGTACACACACACACACACACACCTAACGCTCACACAAACAGTCCTCTGTATTGAAAATCCTCACAATAACGAAGGCAAGCCTTAAAATGTTTACCGCTTGTCACTTGGAAAAAAACAGGCATGACCTGAGCGTCTTTTGTTCTTCCTGTGTTCTTCATGTGTGCTCTTGTGGTGATCTTTTTGTTCCCCGTGTGTGCAGAGTGTGTGTCTAATGTATTCCGGACCAGGACACCACTTGTGCCCTTGTTCTCAGGTGTGTGTGTGTGTGTGTGTGTGTGTGCCCAACTACCTCTCCTCATCCCCCTGTTATGCTTGCTGGAGGTTGAGTTATACTTCATGCTTCCTCAGGCTCCGCCTCTAGTGACCTTTCAGCCGGCTGATATACAGTATAGTTTTCCTTCACTCTTGAACTGTGTTCTGACTGCATTTGTATTCCCGAATGAGGACTCCTTCTCTTTCTTCCTTTTCTTAAGAGCAGCCACGCAGTTTCCACACACGCAGTTGACGGTGAGGAAGAGGGAGAGAGAGAGGTGGACGGAGGGAGAAGTGGAGGAAAGGGCAGGTGAAGGAGAGACAGAGAGGGGGGAGACATGACAAAGTCGTATGTAATACTTAGTGAGATATACTCTTTTTTTTTCCACTCAGTCTATGTTCACAGTGCATACTAATACAACACGAGGTAGTCGATAGATGCTTGAGACTCAGAGGAGTCATAAAGATGTTAGACTGTTTTCTTGCCATGAGGGTAGGGGAACATGGAATGAAATTAAGAAGCAGGTTGTAGAAGCAAACTCCATTCTTAATTTTAACAAATAGTCGACATAATAGGAAAATAGACCAAGAGTCAAGTTAACCGGCGGCGAGAAAGGCGTGATCCAAGAGCTAATGCTCGATCTTGCAGACACAAAGAGGGAATGTACACCACAAGCACAATTAGATGAGTACACACACACACACACACACACACACACACACACACACAACACACACACACCACACCACACACACACACACACACACACACACACACACATACAGAGCTCGAG